TTTTGATCTGAAATTAGACAAGACATGAGAGAAACAAAAAATAAATATGATCTGCAACCTGCACATCACGCTTCTTTTGACGCATTCTCAGATATTCAGAAGGTTCATCGCATAATTTTTGCTCATATGCCCAAACGGTAATGCATGCTTGACCACCTGGTTTCAAAACACGAATAATTTCTTGAATTGCTCGAATTCTTCAAATGAAAAGTGCACAAATTTATATCGCTAAGCATGAAATACAATAATCAACATAATGTGTATTCTTATTGTAATATTTCACTATCAATGTGAAAATAAATCCAGAAGTGTAGCAAAAATCTTTTAAGAAAACCTCCCATACCTAAGTGAGTAACATTCTATTAAAAAATAATATCGCATAAACTTAGTACCTCCTCATTTTCGTAGTTAAATGATGGATGACAGCAATACATAAGACTGCACCCGCACTAGAGCTTCTGAAAGGTAATGATAAAATATCTGCGCGCAGCACATTACACTGCTTTTGGTTAGCTATACGACATAAATTGCTGCATAAGTCGCAACCGATCTGAAACAGAACAGAATTTGTTTTTTTTTTCCTAAGATATGAGAAACAAATTTAACACTAAGCTCTTTTTACTAATGTCAAGATAAAATTTTATGTTTAAAATCTTATTTACATTTAAAATTTGATTCGGAAATTTTATTAAATTTCTTCAAAATATCAAAAAGTCTTTTAAAATGTAATTTCTCAAATATAATGAAATATACTTTGATAAATGCATCATCAAGTTTAAGATATTTTCCATTACCGCAGCCAATATCATAAACTATTGTTCCAGATTCGAAATTTGCCAGAAATTTGGCAACACCGTTCCATTGTGCATGTCGCGTTGTATCAAAATGATCTGCTATAGATTCATAAACCTAAAAAGAATAATCCAAAACTTGTGTAAGAATGAGTTTGCATTAAAGAGAACAAAAGAGTGTAATCAATGCTTCCTTACTGCGGAAACATATTGTTTCTCAATAGCTGCGCCATATTCATCATTATCCGGAATTTTCATTGCACCATTTCGGTCCCAATCACAATATTCAACGAATGCACACTGACACTTTTCTCGCATCACTTTTCGAAATGTAAAAGAAACCCTCAATTGTCGTCGAATTAGTTTATTTGTCATTGGGTTTACATCATATTTTCGCTTCGCTATACTGCAAAACTTTATCATGAAATATTTATGTAATGAAAAATTGATTTATCATTTAAAAATAAAAAGACAATAATTACCCATGTTTCCATCGATATCGCGATTCTCCTCGCATTACCGCCAAACTAAAACGTGGCAAAAGAACATCATAAACTGTTGAAGTGTTTGCAAAATCACGAAATTCCATGACGATATCTGAAACAAGGTATTAAGTTGATAAGCCACTGTATTCTGAATTAACTTTTTTTTAACAATCTGAAAGTGTTGACAAACATTAATGACACGATGAAGTAATAGAAAATAATAATTATAATTCGGGAAAGAATTTTCTACGATCAATACAAATATCAAATTTATTCACAATATTCCCATCGTGATTTTTTCAGATAATTTCCGAATAAAAAAAGATGCAAATAAACCTGAAAGTAAACTAAGCGAAGCTATAGTATCGCTGAATGCCGAATGAGTGTCAATATGTGATGGTATACCATTACCAGGCTCATAAATATTCACCGTCAACTGATCCGGTTTTTCCCGAAATAATTCGGCACCAAGCATTCGATCAATTATGGGTTGACACGTTAATGGTATTGGATTTGGAGAAGGTTGCTCAAATGCCATATTATTATCATAATTGAATTCGAAACCGAAATGGATCACTTTACGGTTTTTTAATGTTTCTGAAACACAGATTAATCAACTTATAAGAATAATGATGTCAAATTTTTTGCAGCGAATTGTAAAATAAACTGCTAATTCTTTTTTTTGGTTAAATAATCCCATAATTTTCAGTTACTTACTAGAAAACGAGTTATTGAAAGAAATCGTATAACATAATTTGCCTCATCATATTCATAAAGGCAGCTAACAGATGATATACTTGCAGATACTATAAAAACAGACAAAATTTTACTTCCACTGGGCATATACTCTTGGATAACAGTAAGCAGTGCTACTTCTTCATCTGCGTTGATAAAATCTGATATAAGCCAAAGATTGTTTGGTTTATGTAGCGGTTCTGTCCTTTTAACTGTTGGTACTGAAACTTTTCTTATCTTTCTAGTAACATAACAAGTTAATTATATGATTACACTTCAAAGCGATGAGACGATACTTTATCCGAAATTCAATTAAAATTAGAAAAAATCGACCCGTTATTTACATTGAGATATTAACTGTGTATATTTCTAATCAATGGAAAAAACGATAGAGATCGCTATCTTGTATACATAAAATTAATTACATGCAGAAATTAGTATTTATATCCTTAAAAGATATATTTTCATTTAGTTTAAACATGAATTTCGTTTTAATTGATTTCAAATTATTTGTCTGGATAAGATTTATGGCATATGAAAAAGTAATTACCGTTTTTAACAAAAGCAATATAAAAAGGTAATGCATTTGAATTCGTTTTTGACGGCACTTGTCCATGAAGTTTCTGATAAGCTAACTGAGAAGCGGCAACAGTTTGGAAAATGACGAAAGAATAAGAACGTTGCGATTGAAATACTATAAAATCACAGCTTTCATCAAATTGATTAAATATCCTTTCCAGTTCATCGTATGACAATCCGCATAATGAACTACTGTTAGCAACAAATAATATCTGCAAATTGAAATTTAAAAATATAATTTCTTTAATCACTATATGGAATAAATTTTTCTCTATACAGGTTAAATAGAAAGTGAACATTTGTTTCAACTGATGACACCATTAATCCATTCCAGCCTGAATAAAAATCAATCTTATCATTAAACGAAATAGACAAGAATTGGTAGTATTGAAATTCCAGCACTAAAATCTTTGCTGTTTCCAACATATCAACTGAAATTGTACTTCAATGTTATCTATTGACAATCATAGGTTCAAATTTAACCAGCAAAAAAGTAATCAAATCATACAATTTAAGAGTTAACATCACAAGAGTTTCTCATCCTATAATGTATGTTAAATTTTATTCTATAATATAGTAAGCTGTAGAATTTGTGCTAACAGCAAAGAAAGATTCGCGCTTTTTTTTTCATCTATAAAATGGAAAAATTATCTTGCAAAGATGCTGAACAACAATTAAAAGAAGTCAAGACTTTAAAATAGACTAAAAATATGACAACAAACATTCTATCAAAGTAACAATAATGTATATGAACTGTTGCAATGACAAATATGCTATTATTTCACTGTACGTAAGAGTAATAATCCTGAAGAACAAAAGTTGATAACTGCTTCTTTATATAGTTTTATAAATTATTATCGTAATGCCTATGTAAATTACGCGTTATTGATGACAAGAAAAATAATAGTAACAATTCTTAAGAACAAAAATTGATGATTGCTTTTTTTCGTTTACAATTTATAAAAGTCCACAAATAATTAAAAGATAAGTTATCTTGTATATGTTAAACTTCCTATCAAAATTATCACTTACTTTAGTGGGAACTGATGAGATTTCCACATCCGGATCATGCTTTTGCAATTGTAGCAAACATTTCCGAAGTTTTCGTGATATCTTTGATTGACCCATTAATTTATTATGAAATATTATTGATTCGAAATGAACATTACCTCAAAATGGATCAGCTTTTCTGTTTCCAACTTTCCTAAATTTCAACAATTTTACTGAAATAATACTTCACGTAAATTATCATGCATGCATTACTTTTTTTGCTTAAAAAAAGAAAGAAATTTCGTGAAAAAGTCTAATTCAGGAAACCTTCCGGAAATCTAACTCTTATCTCAAATCGCCCATCGCTTCCCCTTTCAGCTGCATCCATTCTTGCAATTTGATCACAAACCTATCAGTAATTTGAGCTGTCAGCATAACTCATAAAATCGGAAACATAACTCGTAAGACCGAAAGCAGCGTAACGCATAAGACCAGAAACGACACGATCCAACCGGAAATGGCATAGCTCAAAACCGGAAACGGTATAATTTATAAACCGAAAATACCTTATATCCGGCAATCAAATTTCATTTCCGAGTGATTTTCAAATTTTAATCCATTGTTACTTTTACTCAAAATTATTCACAACAGATATTTTTTATCGTAATGAATATCATATAAGATTGTTTTCTTAAATAGTGACACATTTTCATTTTTGCGCTTTATAATATCAAAATTCATTTTTTTAAAATAATTTTGAAAAAAATTTTAATTTTCTTTATATCTTCGTAGTTCAAATCTGTTTTGTGCTTTTTTCTCTCTCTCTCTCTCTCTCTCTCTCTCTCTCTCTCTCTCTCTCTCTCTCTCTCTCTCTCTCTCTCTCCTCTTCTAATGTGATACTTTTGGAAATGGTTTACCATATAATTATTCCATGCCTAGCAACCTATTTTTTTTTTATTCTGGCTATCGATCTATTGGCTCATTATTTCCTCACATGCTTAGGCCTATTTTTATTTCTGCTTTGTTGATTCATTTTTTCTTTACTTTTTAGCTTACTTTGAGCATAGCTTTTCCCATGTATATCGATGTAATTGTTATTGAAAACAAAGCTTTTACACTCAACTTCTCCAGCTTTAACTGTTAATTAAATTCCATTACTAATCAATATAAATACATGGTGTAATCCGGAAATTTAGTAAACAAAAAATTAATACTGAAAAAAAGAGAGGAAAAAGAAATGGGAAAAAAAAGCGAAGAAATTTGCGTTATTATTGCGCATGTGCGTTATTATTTAGGCAAAAAAAATGAATAATTTAAAGAAAAATGGAAAATAGTTTCATGAAATTTAAAAATTTCGACTTTTTCTTTTACTGTCTTCCAAAAAAAAGGAAGTGAAGAAAAACAAAAACAAATAAAATGCAAATCTTGCAAATCTTGCAATATATTGCTATTATCATTTCTAGCTAACATTAAATACTAAATTGATTATTTGCTGCTCAAAATAAAAATGAAATATAAAATTTATGGTGTTATTAAAGTCAATAATAGCCAACCATTATTTCTTCAACGATCGAAAGAAAAGCAATTAATTGCTTTTAAAATGGGGAAAATATGATTTGATCATTCATTCTTCCTTCTACTTATACTTCCTGACAATATTTTTCTTCTTTTAAACTTTTATTTTTACTATTCTTTCCTAATTTAATTTTTGAAATAAATTTAAAAAGAAAAATTGCTAAGAATGACTAAGAGAATTGTGATTAATTGTCAAGATTGGCTAATTGTAGATGAATTTTCTAGCAAAAAAAGATCGAAGTTAAGATTAATTCAGTGTCAGAAAAATACTGGAAGAGTTATTTTTTATAAAAAATATCACTTTTTTGTTTTAGTGAAAGAACTAGTGAATTTGTTTTCATCATTTTCGAACTTTTTATTGACCTCAATTTTTATCAATTTTATTTGATAATAAAATATCGGGAATGTAGATTGCATATAAAGAAAAGAGGTCATCAAAGATTTATGATTTATCCATTTATTTATTTATTCAAGTAATTAATTGATTAATTAATTTATTTATTTATGAAATAACTTTGAAATGCAAACTGAAGAAATAAATAAGTAACGCAACAGAATACGCATCTTTTTTTTTTCATGTACCATTTTATCTTTCTATTTTTCATTCTGCTCATTTTTTTTTCGCTTTTCAAATGCTTATCAATTTATTTCTTTCAATGTTCTTTTTTCTTTTCTGGCTATTGAATTTCTTTTTATCATCTTTGAACTTTTTATGATCCCAATTTTTATCAGTTTTATTCGATAACAAAATATCGGGAATTTGTAGATTGCGAAATAACAATTTGTTTTGATTTCATTTCGCCTTTTGTTTTTTCATCGGGTTCTCATAGAAAATGTACAATTATCTATTTATTGGATTGAATAATTAATAATTTTTTTTATCATTATAATAGTAAATCTCCATTCAAGCATATACATATATATTAATTGGATTAATTAGAGGTGCTAATTTATCAAAATTGTGAAATTTAAATTCAATTTGTCAAACGTTGTGGATGATAAAATTTAAAAATAATAGATTACACCAATAAAATGTATTTCTTTACTTTTATTTCCCGATTTATTTGCAACTTTTATTTATATATTTTTTCAGGTTATTGCTAAATGCTTTGTTCATTACAATGATAGAAATATTTAAAAAGAAAAGAACAAAATGGAAAGTATGAGATAAAACAAATGGCAATAAAATGCCTTTAAATAATTTACTTTTGATGTACTTATTGATGCATACTGAATATAAAATTTAAAATTCGAAAGAGGAATTAGTAATTTGCATATAAATCAATAATTTACAAAGTTAAATTGAGATGAGCAAGATAAAAAAGAAGAGAAAGAAGCGAAATGAAAAAAGAAACGAACAATTATTGATTTTGGAAATGTTATAAAATGAAATGAATCTTAAAAATTTTACGCATCCTAATATCATATTATTACTTTATTTGACATGAAAAATGTTTTAATTAATTTAAAAATAACGCTAATTTTTAATTGTAAAATGAACTATTTCATTTATTTTTTATCTATATTATTATCATTGTTATGAAAAATGATAATTTATTTCCTACAGTGTATTTGTTATTTAAGGAATAATCAGCAATAAATTTCATTATCATTAGCAATAAAATATGATGATCAAACAGTAAAAGGCAATAACATTATCATTACTGAACAATCTATTTACTTTGTAGATGATTTTTCCATCTTTTTTTTTTAAATAAATGCGAAAGTTAGATGTTCATGAAATTACAAATATTTTAATTTCTTGATTTCTTTTATTTCTAAAGAATAATCATTGATGGATATCATTTATAATATGAAAATAGAATACTGATTAGCATGCGATTTAATACATTTTTTTTACATATTTCAATTTTGAAATTCCATTTTGCTTGACTAAGATTAGATGATTTAAATTGCTGTTAGTTTAGCTAATGAGAGAATTGAAGGGAAACAATTTTGATGGTTGACTTTATAAAATGATATTTTGAGATGAACACTTTCAATAAATTCCACATCAATTGATATTTTGAAATGATCGTAGATTGGGATTTGATATATCAGTCAGTCAAATTGATGATCACTTATGCTAATATCATCCGGAAATGTGCGATTTAGACCGAATATTCTTAATGAACTATTGGATCTTATGTAGGATTTGGAAAGAATGCTATTACATATCTCATTCATTTCAAATGTTATAATGAAGTAAAAATATAAGCAATCGACGTGTTACGAGTTCGATTACGTCAGTAAACGTTAGTCATAAAGAATGTCAATTTTGTCATCGTCTTTTTTTTCGAATTCACTTAGTCAAGATGAACGAATGATTTTGGAAAAGGATTAACATAAGTAGCCCCGTTTAATCTTATCTAAAACTAATTTCAAACCATTAATTGTCGATAATTGCGTTACTCCTATCAGTATCATGCTAACATTTTATGCTGGAACATTTAAAATTAATTCAAATTTAATTTATCAAATACTCTCAAACACGTTGTATGGATGATGTGATTACTTGTTTGTGCATGGAGATAAGGGCAAAGTTTGTTATTAATTCTGTGAGAAGCCATTAATCTTTTGTTCCTCCATCCTACTAGAAAGATTGGCTTCTTTTTTTTTGGTTTCTGATTCCTTCAAACTTTTCAAAAGCAAAAAGATATGAAAGAGAAAAATCCTTTTCTTCCATTTTCTGTTTTCAAGTAATTCGAAATGATAATACGGATATAATTAATATTTCCATTGGAGATTATCATAATCCTTTTCATCCTCATTAATTTATCTCCTTTTGTTCAGATATGATATCACCGCCATCATCATTATTATTATCATTATCATCGTCTTCAGTATATTATATGTATAAACCATCCTCATTCTTTCTCTTCTTTTATGAATGAAATAAAATGTTGAATGAAATTGCGTTTAACATTAAATTCCTTCATTTTTCTTTTCAAAACGTAATTAAATATCGATGATAAATTAGTTTGCAAAAAAAAAACACTGATAATACCACAAATATGCATACTTTGTATAAATCCCGGAGACGCTAAATATTATTAATTTAAAATTCGATTTAATTA